AGCCACGAACCATCTTGCGACAGCTTAATGAAATTCTGCATCATCCTGATGTTGACAGCATCACGGCACCACTACACCCACACACCATAACGTGGGAACATCATGACGATACACCAGCCACGAACCGTTACACGCGAACAGCATCCACCAGCACCCCAAACATGCCCCCTAGCACCCGGCATCCACCCGCGCCTCAAACTGCATGCGGCCGTCAAGCTCGCAAAGCAGCATCCACCAGCACCCCAAACTGCATGCCCCCTAGAACCGGCCGTCAAGCTCGCAAAACAGCATCCACCAGCACCCCAAACTGCATGCCCCCTAGCACCCGGCCAGCTCGCAAATCAGCATCCACCAGCACCCCAAACTGCATACCCCCCAGCACCCGGCCGTCGGGCTCGCAAAACAGCATCCACCAGCACCCCAAACTGCATGCCCCTAGCACCCGGCCAGCTCGAAAAACAAAACAGCATCCACCAGCACCCCAAACTGCATGCCCCCAGCACCCAGCCGTCAAGCTCGCAAAACAGCATCCACCAGCACCCGAAACTGCATGCCCCCTAGCACCCGGCCGTCAAGCTCGCCGGCCAGCTCGCAAACCAGCAGCCCCCCACCCGGCCGTCAAGCTCGCAAAGCAGCATCTACCAGCACCCCAAACTGCACGCCCCGTAGCACCCGCAAAGCAGCACCACCCCGCCCTCAATCTCGCAAATCCACCAGCACCTTAAACTGCATGCCCCCTAGCACCCGGCCGTCAAGCTCGCAAAGCAGCACCTACCAGCACCCCAAACTGCATGCCCCCTAGCACCCGGCCGTCAAGCTCGCAAAGCAGCACCCACCAGCACCCCAAACTGCATGCCCCCTAGCACCCGGCCGTCAAGCTCGCAAAGCAGCATCCACAAGCACCCCAAACTGCATGCCCCCCATGCCCCCTAGCACCCGGCCGTCAAGCTTGCAAAGCTCGCAAAGCAGCCCACCAGCACCCCAAACTGCATGCCCCCTAGCACCCGGCCGTCAAGCTCGCAAAGCAGCACCCACCAGCACCCCAAACTGCATGCCCCCTAGCACCCGGCCGTCAAGCTCGCAAAGCAGCATCCACCAGCACCTCAAACTGCATGCCCCCTAGCACCCGGCCGTCAAGCTCGCAAAGCAGCATCCACCAGCACCTCAAACTGCATGCCCCCTAGCACCCGGCCCTCAATCTCGCAAAGCAGCATCCGCCAGCACCTCAAACTGCATGCCCCCTAGCACCCGGCCGTCAAGCTCGCAAAGCAGCATCCCTTCCAGCACCTCAAACTGCATGCCCCTAGCACCCCGCCCTCAATCTCGCAAAGCAGCATCCACCAGCACCTCAAACTGCATGCCCCCTAGCACCCGGCCGTCAAGCTCGCAAAGCAGCATCCACCAGCACCTCAAACTGCATGCCCCCTAGCACCCGGCCCTCAATCTCGCAAATCACCTTCCTCTCTTTATTAGAAGTTAGAACCCCTATAGCTTTCAGCTATCTGGGGAATAAATAGAGCAGTTATCAGAAGTAGAATCACTAAAAACATTGAAAAACAAACATGATTCTGGAACTCAACAAAACGCACCTGCCCCTCTCGGAATAAGAATACTCATTATAATAGCTACGATGAGTAGACAACATTTCCCAAACATGAATTTTCAATTTCCCAAGGGCACCCGTCCCTGTGGGAGTAATTAGACAATTAGAGCAGTTAGAATAACCAGAATAATTGAACACACATGAACCTGGAGATTCCCAGAAGGCACTTGTTCCTTTGAGAAGACTGATCATAAGAAGTAGAAGGGACTCGCCCCGTTGGCAATAATTGGAAACGCGGGTAGTAATCCGAATTTCCCCAAATGTCCGCAAATTTGGGAATGACCAGTTGCAAAAACAAGAGCCTGGAATTCCCGTCCCTTTGGGAATGAGAATGATCAGAACAAGCGACACGTTTGTTCTAATCTTTCTAGTTATTCTACATGTTCTGTTGTTTCTTATTATTCCCAAGGGGGCGGGCCTTTGGGAAATTGAAGATTCATGTTTTGCATATTAGCCTACTTATCATCGCCATGATTTCTCGTTATTCCAAGAGAGGCGTGCGCCTTTTGGGGAATTCCAGGTTCATAGCTTTTTTTTCTGTTGATTCTACTTCTGATATATGTTTCTCATGATTATTCTCATTCCCAAAAAGACGGGAATTCCAGGCTCTTGTTTTTGCAACTGGTCATTCCTGGGAATAATAAGAAACAACAGAACATTTAGAATAACTAGAAAGAATAGAACAAACATGAATCTGGAGATTCCCTGAAGGCACCCGTCCCTTTGGGAAGAATGATTATAATAAGTTCATGAGTAGATGTGCTAGACTAGAAAATGAATCTGGAATTCCTCAAAAGGGACCCGTCCCGTTGGGAATAATTGGAATAATTTGGGCACGCCCAAGAACATAACATATTGTACGTAGAGTAGTTAGAGAAACAATGAATCTGAAAGTTCCCCAATTTGGAGAATAAAGAATTGGAAAAAGCAAGAATCTGGAATTCCTCGCAAGCACCCCCCACCTTTGGGAATGACAAGAATAATGGGAAGACGTACAAGGCACCCACCTCTTGTGTAGTAATTGTTGTACCTAGAACAACAAAGGTGCCCGTCCCTTTGTCAATAAGCAGAATATCTAGCATAGTTATAGAAGTAGAATAGTTAGAGCAAACACGAATCTGGAAGCTCTCAAAAGGCACCCGTCCCTTTGTAAATAATAATGATAGTAGTATTTTACAAGACTGATGATAAGTAGACTAATCAGCGAACGTGAATCTTGAACTCACTAAACGGCACCTTCCTGTTTGGGACCAAATAGAAAATAGGGAAATAATCAAGAACTTACTAAATGGGAGATGCTCATTTGGGAATGGTTCGAATAGTTTGAACAATGCGGGAACCACGAATCTCGCCACCAACAGGCCCCATCCCTCTTGACATAATTATCCTACCCAGGGCAAGCACGAGCTTGGAATTCCCCAAGACGCACCCCAGCTCCCTAGGGATGATAATTAGATAAGTAGAATAATTAGCAATCAGGGCTCTTGAATTCCCCAAAAGTCACCCGTCCCTTTGGGAATAATGATGAGAATTAGAAGAGTTATGATAAGTAGAATAGTTAGAAAACATGAATCTGGAATTCATCAAAAGGCACCCCACTTTTTGGAAGAAGTAGAATACTTAGATTAGTTCAAATAATTAGCACAAACATAAATCTGGAGTTCCCCCAAAGGCACCCGCCCCTTTCGCAATAAGTATATAAATGAGAATAATTGTAATTTTGTGGGGAAGCATACCCAATAATTAAGACAGTAGGACAAAGATGGATCTGGAATTCTCCAAAAGCAACCCGTCCCTCTGGGAAGAATTATAATAATTAGAACAAATAATATAGTTATGATAAGTAGGATAGCTGGCAAACATGGATCTTGAATTCCACAACACGCACCCGCCCCTTTGGGAATGATTAGAATGAGAATAAGTTGATTAGTTAGAATACTATAGTTGAAACACACATGAATCTGGAATTGGGATTTCCGAAAAGGCACCAGTCACCCGTTCCTTGGGAATAGCTAGAACAAAGGAAATAATTAGGGGCGGATTCCCCACAAGGGGCCCCGTCCCGTTGGGAATGCGTGCTACAACCAGAATAATCAGAACAGAATGACCTGGAAACCACACTGGACTTCACCAAATGGCTTGAAAACAACGAGAATCCTTAGATTTGCTTAAGTTGTTAGAATGAGTAAAAGAATTAGATCAACCATGAATGTTGATTTCCCCAAAAGGTACCCTCCTGTGGGAATACATCAGAGAATGATGATTGTTATGAGAAGTAGACTAACTCGAACACATTTGACCCAAAATGCACCCGCCGATTGCGAATAAATATAAAATCACGTAGAATGATTCGAAAACACGTGAATCTGGAATTCGCCAAAGGGCACCCGTCCCTTGGTGAAAAATATGTAACAATCAGAATAGCTGTAAGAATTAGGACAATGCACCTGGAATTCCCCAGAGCGCGCCCGTCCCTTGGGTAATAAATAGAACAAGTAGAAATTTCAATGAGCTAGAAGAAATTGTTTCGGAATTCCCCAACAGTCCCCTGCCCCTTTGGGAGTTTCTAGAATGATTCGAAAATTAAAAAGAAAAAGGGTGTTTTGTTTGTGTTAGTGTACTTGGTGTGTGTGTGTGTGTGTATTGCTTGTCACTCTGTTTGAGTGCCCTTTGTGCTCTCAGTTTCTCTTTCTCTCTCTCTCTCTCTCTCTGCTTGCGTTTGCGTGCGTGCGTGCGTGCGTGCGTGCTTGCGCGCGTGCGTGCGTGCGTGCGTGTGTGTGTGTGGGTGCGCGCGTGTGTGTGTGTGTGTGCGCGCATGTGTGTGTGTGTGTGTATCATGAGTGAGGGAAACATCCCCCCCGCGCGTACCACTTTGGGGGAAACAATCATCCCGCGCGCGCACGCCACATAGGACCTAATCTTCCCTGCCACGGGGGGGAGGGTACCCTCGAAAACACAGACAAACAGATCACTCAAACAAGAAGGACAAATCTGGGCGATGCCAATGGAAAGCGTCGCCCTTTCCGAATTCAAAAGGGACACCCATTCTGGAACGATTTGCCGTGCGCCGTCTTGGCTAAATCCTAGCGGGCTTAACTCTTGGGAAAGTCCGTGGGGGGCGTCGCTGCCCTTTAGGACGCAGTCGGCGTGTCAGCCCCGCTGACTTGGGTTTGTCAAAACCGCACCAGGTAGGGCCACTTCCTGACATCCGTTAATGCCTACAAGTAAAAAGGCACCTTTTTTGGAGGTTAGACTTGAAAGGACACTCCCCTCGGGAGAAAAAGAAGTTGATAAACACAAGATGACAAAAGTTCAAAGGAAAGCGGCCTCGGAGCTCATCAACAGACACCTTCGCGATTTCGGGAAACAAGCCGAATGGCCGACATTCGGCCCCCACCGGCTTGCAGAAAGCCCTTCTTCGCCTGCTCCGGCGCCTCTTCGGGCCTCGTGCAGCAGTCGATGGTCGACTAAGCTCTCCAAATGACTAAAATCCAGCGAAAACCAGGTTGAGGTGTTTTTTCTTTTGCTAGCCCCGGCTTTTACTAGCCCCGGCTCAGCACAAGGCCTCCCTTGCTGGGGGCCGGGTTGGTGGGCCGCATCCCCAGCATCCCCAGCTGCTTGTCAGGGCTGGCTTGATTTGGTGGTAGTTGAGAGTTGCTCAGGTTTAACCGGCTGCATCCCCAACAAGTGTGCCTGGGCTCGAGGAAATAATAGGACAAAACAAATAGAACAGGAAACACGAAACAACTCCAAAGAAAGAACCACCGTGTTTTGCTCCCTTGAAGCATTGGCTCGGCTTGCGAGAATCGCTGCGCACACATCTTTTGCCCTGGCAAGCCGTACAGGTTCACTGAATGCGTGGCTTCCAGGCACGGACAAATATCCTTCATGGGAAAATACATGGGTGTAAACACATGGGTGTGTCTCTCAAAAATCACGTTGTGCTGGCTTTAAGAAGAAACGAAAAGGAAACCAACCACCACTTTGGTGTCCCATGTTTTGAGAAATGACCAGAGCCACGTCGTGGGTCACAAAGATGGAGCCTAACAGCTGCACCTCCAAACGGGAAAGCACCTTTGTGCCCATAAATCTAAGGACTCTGATGGGGCGCGTTGCTAAACTCGATCCGACACAGGAAAAATGGAATCTGGACACGTGTCGCGGACATATTTGCCTGGGTGCCAAAGGGGTCTGGAAAGCAAACGACACCCATCTCCAAGCTTCACTTTGGGAAAAAAAACATGGGCTATGTGGCACCCAGTGTCCTTCGTCACGTGCCGGAAGAACTTGCTGCATGTTCCGGCACGTCTCTCGGCTGGCAGGGGGGCGCATCATGACAGCCTCCGCAACATGTCCAGTTGCTGAGTTGCTGGAAGCGCGATCCAGGCTTGGGATAAACTACATCGAGGATCAGTAGATCCCTATACTCCTCATTGAAGGTTTTCCAGCCCGTTGCGTAATCGTCATAGCCCCAGCCAGCACTCCAACCAAAGTCTCGCCCGTCCGTCCGCTGAAGGTTGTTCGGCCTGGGGTGTATCTTGCCGGGATGCCACTTCCTGGGCTGACAGGGAGGCGCATCATGAAAGCCTCCGCAACATGTCCAGTTGCTGAGCTTCGAAGGAAAACGCGCCTCATCTTTGGGAAAGACTACATCCAGGACCGGCAGATCTTGTGGACCGCCAATGACAACCCACCCAGTTGCATACTCGTCGAACGGCCAGCCGGGCGATATGAATAATTCCTTGCTGTCTGTCCGCCCAATGCCGGTGGGCTGGGATGGAATCTTGCCCGGGTGCCACATCGGAACGGCCGGCCGCTCCGGCTCGGCCTGCGCCGACGCCGCACTTTCGGTCTGTTGGCCCTTGACCTGCTCCCTCAGCTCGTCCAGCTCCTCAAACCTGCACGCGGAACCAAGGCCGTTGATCGCGTGAGAAACTCATTCGAGGGAGGTAGACAAATGTGAAGCTTGGCGAAACAGCCTGAAACCCTGGCCTTTTGTACCAGATTGCGGATGAAATAAGTAACTTGCACCACTGCTGGGGTATCATGCACAATCAGATTTGGGTGGGCCCCAAGCGGTTATCGATTGCGAGTTGACCCCTATCGATTTCTGGTGGCATCGATTGTTGGTTACTCATGGATGTAGCAAAAGGAACAATGGAGGAACCAAGCAAGCACATATATGGATGTCTCTTATTTAGGAGACACCCGAAATGCTGGTTTCCCTCTTGGTTCCGTTTACAACTAACGAAGAAGGGGGTACACCAAAAAACACAAGCCCGTATTGCAAAACCATGAGGAGGTACATCAAGATCATCTATCCCTCTGGAACTATTTAATAAGGTCTGTTGGGATCAAAGGTCCTCGCCTTTCCGGTCTTGGGATCCCATGCTGCGACCAGGAAGCATGGCGAGCATGGCTGCCATGTGCTGTCCAACGTTGGTTTCCAGGTGGGCCACCATGCCGTCTTTCCGGACACGCTCTCCGCACAGGCGGCACTTCTTGTAGTTGGCCTCGCACCTGAGAGCAATGGGACAAAGGAATGATGACCAAAACCAACAATGTTGGTTCACACATCTGAAAGTTGGAATTCGCAGTACACAACAAGACAACCAAAATACAAACAAAAAACAATCAAACACAGACAACCACACCAACTAACAAACAACACACACACACAAAACAATCAATCCATCCATCCATCCATCAATCAATCAATCAATCAATCAATCAATCAATCAATCAATCAATCAATCAATCAATAAATCAATCAATCAATCAATCAATCACTCACTCAATCAATCAAATCAAATGAATTCAAATCAAATCAAAACAAATCAATCAATCAATTCAATCAATCAAACAAATAAGCAATAGAGCAACCAAGCAAGCAAGCAAGCAAGCAGGCAGGCAGGCAGGCAGGCAGGCAGGCAGGCAGGCAGGCAGGCAGGCAGGCAGGCCAGGCAGGCAGGCAGGCAGGTAAGCAAGCAAGCAAGCCTAACCAAACAAACAAACAAACAGGCAAACAAACTGACACACACACACACCAAAACAAACAACGAAACACGCAAACAAGCAAGCAAGCAAGCAAGCAAGCAAGCAAGCACGCAAGCAAGCAAGCAAGCAAATAAAACAAAACAAAACAACAAAACAAACAAGCAAGCAAGCAAGCAAGCAAGCAAACAAACAAACAAACAAACAAACACACAGACACACACGCACAAACAAACAAACAAGCAAACAAACAGACAGACAGACAGACAGACAGACAGACAGACAGACAGACAGACAGACAGACAGACAGCCAGACAGACAGACAAACAAACAAACACACCAGCAAACAAACAAACACACAACCAAAACTGACACGAACAAATACATAGACACACACACACACACACACGCACGCACGCACGCACGCACGCACGCACGCACGCACGCATGCACACGCGCAAGCAATCCAATCAACCAACCAAGCAAACAAACAAGCACACAAAGCAACCGAGCAATCAAAAAAAAAGACACACAAGCAGAGAAACAAGTACACAAACAAACAAACAATCAAACAATCAAACAAACAAACAAACAAACAAACAAACAAACACAGTCCCAAAAAGAACGAACCAAAACAAAACATCACAACAACGACAACAATTCCAACAACAACAACAACAACAACAACAACAACAACAACAACAACAACAACAACAACAACAACAACAACAACAACAACAACAACAACAACAACAACAACAACAACAACAACAACAACAACAACAACAACACGACAACAACACGACAACGACAACGACAACGACAACGACAACGACACGACACGACAACGACAACGACAACGACAACGACAACGACAACGACAACGACAACGACAACGACAACGACAACGACAACGACAACGACAACGACAACGACAACGACAAACAACAACAACAACAACAACAACAACAACAACAACAACAACAACAACAACAACAACAACAACAACAACAACAACAACAACAACAACAACACGCAGGCAGAACAAAAATGCACAAAACAAATCCGAGGAATCAAGCAACAAACCAAACAAACCAACAACACAACATAACAACACGAACTGGAGAGAGGATGATAAAGTGGTTGCCCGAGTCGGTTTTTGTAGCTCGGGCGCTCAGTTGCTTTGTGCTCTTCCAGCTCCCGCGCCAGCACCGAGGCCTGGCACGCCTCGCAGGAGACTTTGCGCTCGCTGCAGTCCTAAAGCAACCGAGGCCGCTTGGGCGTGTTGCTCTCCGAATGGGCAGCTTTCATTGGGGATGCCGTAGTGAGCATCCATTCGGTGGAATGCAGGTCCAACCGCCGTTGAGGAGGTTCCTTGTTCAAATGGCCAAACCTGTGAAGCCGTTTGTGTGTGTGTGTGTGTGTGTGTTTTTTCTTCGACATGAAACAACATGTTTCCAACCTTTGACCTCAGTGGTGATAGGAAAAACCTGAGAGCTAAAGAGTGAATTTTTGGGAGTGCATGCTAATCCCATACTCACGTGTAAATATCTTCAACCGAACCGGGTCTGTGGTTCTTCTGAGCTCTGGGGCTGCGTGTTTGGACTCGTCGACCCCCGACTGCAATCGAAACAAGGCACATCGCATGTCTCCCAACCTGTCCCAATTCGCGCACGCGGCTCCGGAGAAGGCTTAACGATGTTGGATTAATTTCAGCACTCAAGAGATGCGATCAGGTACAGCGGATAGAACCCACCAATGTGTGTATTTCTTTGTTGGCGTGCCTCTTGAAGAACGGCACCCGGTACCCAAACCACCTCAGGGCAGTTTTGGACTCCAGGGTGAATGGGCGGAAGATCCTATATTTGGGTGCTGTTCCGCGCGGGGACCTTCTGGTGGGCGTTGGCATCTTTGGGTGCATGCGTTTGCGAAGGCACTTCCTCATTTTGTTTGGACTACTCAGCAGGAAGGAATACTCACCTAGTCCTTGCAGCTTCCCGCACGAGCGTGATTGAAACATCCTGCAGTTCACCGGTGTTGGAGGTCAATGGAAGAAAGAACCACATAAACCAAAAAAAAGGTGGTAGCAGCCGCTACAACAATGCACGTGCCTTTTCTGACTTGTCCAAATTAAGTACCGGAAATTCCAGGGTGTACCTTGTTGAACCATGATGTTGGCCTCGGATAAATCACAATAAAATGATTCTATTGGCTGGGCGCGAAGCGTTCCGTGCCCCGTACAAAAACAAACGGGGCTTGATCAAACTGCACTGAGGAACTGCAGTTGGCTGCAACTGAGGAACTCAAAGTCCCAGGTATGCCCGAGGTCTGTCTACCGAATGACAAGTCCAACGCCCATCAACAGAACCACTTGGATCAGTGGGTTGAAGGTCAGGAGCTGGATTTCCCATCTACAAGAAGAACCAGGGGTTGAATCACCAACTAAGGGT